TCTACATCTAATATAACAAGATGGAAGTAACTTAGTTTAAAGTTGTATATAGTATACATCTAATATAACAAGATAAAAGTAACTTAGTTTAAAGTTGTATATAGTCTACATCTAATATAACAAGATGAAAGTAACTTAGTTTAAAGGTGTATATAGTATACATGTAATATAACAAGGTAAAAGTAACTTAGTTTAAAGGTGTATATAGTCTACATGTAATATAACAAGATAAAAGTAACTTAGTTTAAAGATGTACATAGTCTACATCTAATATAAATAAGTTCGTTTTGACAGTAAATTAAAAAAATAATAACCCTAAGTTATGAAAGAAAGAAATATTTTAAGGAAATAGTGTAGTTTGGGTGTAATGAAAGGAAGTAATATTATTTCAAGTCCCAAAACGAAGTATTAGTTTATATGTTTGAATTTCGTGCGAAGATACTATACGGAAGAAAATACTTCAGGTTGACAGTAAAGGGAAGGAAAAGTATAGCTTACTGAAGAGAAGATGAAAAAATATTGTTTGAAAGCTCATTTAAAACTCTAATAGGCTTTTCAGATGAATGGACATTACTTACCGAAGAAACCATTTTGATATCACGAATAAAACTACAACTCAACCAAGAGAATTCTGCAGTTCGCCTATTATTCAAAGTTTAAATTTAGTCATGTGAAATTAGCCCAATAGTTGACGTTGGGTAATGTCTAGCAGATGCTATCTCAAGAGTGCAGCACAATTAACTTTTTTAAAATCCATGAAATAATTTAAATTGATAAATTAAATTAAACTTTTCTCGTCACTGGGGACGGGCACGTTTGCTAGATTAACTTAAACTTTTCCTGTCATTTAAGAACAAAAATATAACACCTACATAAGTCTCTACACTTTTGGGTTCATAAAAAATACAATGATGCTATAATAAAATATTAGTTCACATTTATCTGATACTCATATTGAGATCGTTTCCATGAATCTAAAGCCTACTCACATCGTGACTTTCAAGAAGCCTAACGTTTCTTTAAAAGTTACTTTAAAAAACCAAACATCCTTAATATCCAGCAAAAACAACCTTGGTATTCATTAACTCGTAAAAGCAATTGTATGCTCTCGCTACAATACACAATATCTAATAATTACAGTTCTTACACTGCTTTAAAACACATGTTGGAAGAAAACCAACTTTTTCTTCTATAGAGAGTAGAAGTCTACAAACAAATCGTATCAGGCTGATACGAGAACATGGCTCGGTGGCATTTCTCACCATTCTTTTTTTATTTTCTTCTCGAATTGTGGTTTCGCATTTCTCTTTAAGAAAAGTAACCTTGAAAAATAGGTAAAGAAGGAGTCGTGACGTTGGTCGAGTGTTGAAGGTCACATGAGTTATGGCGATATAAAGACGAGGTATATTTTTATGCTTCTCCACAAGAGGGCGTGATATTAATTACATAATTTATTGATTAATGATTATGTCATATTAATCCGAACGGATAATTACGTAGCACTGATATGATTGTGTTATAACTTTCATATTAAAATGTAATTTTTATTCCACATTTATTTAATCACATGATCTTCAGTTAACTCCTTGACCGTGCAAGATGGTTACACTGAAAAATGAGTAAAAGTGTACTTGATTAATTTTATTTCTTAACCAATTTTTTGTAAATAAGATATTATTCCAGTGTGTGTTTATGGTCGCCAACTTGAACTTCGATTTTGACTTTGATAACAGATGCCGAGAGACAAACACTATCTTAGAAAACTAACCATATAAATGCTGCATAGACCACTATTATGTCTGTCGTAGTCGAGCTGACTCGAGAAAAAATACATTAGTAATTCTAAGAACTTATGAGTGAAAACAAAGATGAATATGTTATAATATATCAAATATACTAAATCTGCCATATCCAATGCTGACGAAGCCTTTCGCCCAATCAGTAATCATCAGGTCAGCTGAAGTGTGTGTTTTCTTATAGCAAAGCCTCGTCGGGTTATCTACTGTGTCCACCGAAGGGAGTCGAACTCCTGATTTTAGCCAGTGGACTCGACGCTGTAGATGCATCACAAGAAGACTAGCTTACTGATTCGCTATTTCTTCTGAAAGTTAAGCCAAATACAATAGTAATAATTATAATACAATAAATGGCCGGTGTTAAAATAAAACAACTAGATAATAATGCTATTAGTATTTACCCTAACATCTTATTTGACTTAAGCAAAACTTAGAATCATTACTTAATTTAGTTCACAGCAAAACAGTCATTGTTGACGAAACTTTAAACTATCGTAAATATTGACACTAGCTGAACACAATGTAAATTTGACACTAGCTGAACACAATGTTATCTGTTTGAGAAAATTTGAAATAGGCTCACATACATATATATATATATGTTACATTCATTTACTTGGTTATGGTGCTGCACATCTAGATTGGTTATGGTACTGCATATCTAGATTGGTTATGGTGCTGCATATCTAGATCTCTTAGGGAGATTTGGTTTTAAGGATTGGTGGATTCGTGGAAAGAACTGACCATCTACGTGGAGTTTGTTCTGCCTCGCAGGAATTCTAAAAAAAACATTCTTCTGGAATGCAACATAAAGTTTAGGTCACCCTAAATGGGGTGGTATGTGACATTTTATTAAGTTAACTATTGTTCCCGTAAGTGAATCGAAATTTATGTCGAAGATGTTAAGATGTTCTATGATTTAGAGATTGTCCCTAACCAAGCATTTGACAGTTAGAGTAGATCAAGACGTTAGTGAAACTAGAGTAAACGAAAATTACTTCAAGTAAGACAGCACGTGGGCTCGAGATAACTATGGTTTGAGAGTCAAGATGTTAATGTTAAATTCGAAGTGGTGAAACATGATCCTGATGTGAAATGGTTTTGTGTTCTTGTGTTGTGCTGTACTAAGTTGTTTGTGTGTCGTAACTTGCGCTTAGAATGTCGAGTCAACTCATTAAATAATTCATAACGGATCGTTCAGGAATTGGAACGATTTGGAGTTAGCGCCGTAAAGTGGTGCTATAACAACATTATCCGTCAAATGTAGTTTATTCTAAAATGTGCGTGTACGAAAACTGGTATTCGAGTTAGTTTGTACTTATTTTCATAGGCTTGTAAGTTCATAGACGTGTAATAAATTACGTTATAATATAACTACGTGATTGTTTTATCGGATTAAATGTACTGAGTTTATTTATGACAAAACTTTATAAATTTCTAACGTAAGTTATTTATTAAATTGAACGTTCACAAATCTTGTATCATGTTGGGGTCGCTGCCAGCGAAGATTGATGTTAGAAGTAAACGCATTTAAAAGCTGTCACTCTCCATATGTTTCGGCCTGGTATTTAAGAGATCTATTCACAGTATGCGAGTCGCTGGATCGAAACCCAATGCCAAACATGCTTGTCCTTTCAGCCATGGGGGCGTTATAAAGTTACGACCAATCCCACTATTCGTTCGTAAAGAGTAGCCCAAGATTTGGCGGTGGGTACTGCCAGCTGATTACCTTTCTTCTGGTTGGCAGCTCAAAATTAGAGACCGGTGGCGGATAGCCTTATTAGAGATTTGCTATAAACAAAAAAAACAAACAAAACTGTTCATAGTTTTTGTTTCTAAGTCATTCAGTGACACATCACACATTTAATGTTTAAAAAATATTCCAGCCAAGTACATTTCACGATTAATATGAAAACCAGATATCGACTTCTCTACTTCCAAGAATTATTTGTATTTAATATTTACTATAATTCAAAAGTATGTTGATTAAGAATGAAGAGGAGTTTTCAAAGTTAAATTTTTTAACGAAACAAAATTTGCTGAAACATCGGTAGTGTTTGGGTATATACTTATATAACATCAGTATATGAATTTTACAAGAAAAACTTTGAAAATATAGAAGATCTCATCGAAATTCCATTACTGTCAGCGTTACACAGGTTTATCATGTCATCATTCCCAGTAAATGTCCAACACTTAAATGAGACTAACGAAGGCCTAGACAAAGAAGGAAGAACATCGCTATACTCAATAAATAAGGCAGAAAGAATCCATTACAAATACCAACAATACAGATTTCATTACACTCAAGAAATAAGGCAGAAAGGATACATTATAAATACCAACAATATAGACTTCATTACATTCAAAAAATAGAGCTGGAAAGGGGGTGCATTACAAATACCAACAATACAGATTTCATTATACTCAAGAAATAGAGCCGGAAAAGGGCACATTACAAATATCAACAATACAGATTTCATTATACTCAAGAAATAGAGGCGGAAAAGGGTACATTACAAATATCAACAATACAGATTTCATTATACTCAAGAAAAGAACTGGAAAAGGATACACTACAAATACCAAGAATACAGATTTCATTATACTCAAGAAATAGAGCTAAAAATGATACATTACAGATATCAGCAGTACAGATTTCAATACATAGAAGAAATAAAGCAGAAAGAATCCATTACAAATACCAACAATGCAGATTTCATTACATAGAAGAAAAAAGAGCTGGAAAAGGATCTATTACAAATACCAACAATGCAGATTTCATTACATAGAAGAAAAAAGAGCTGGAAAAGGATCTATTACAAATTCCAACAATACAGGTTTTATTACACTCAAGAAATAGAACTGGAAAAGGATCCACTACAAATACCAAGAATACAGATTTCAATACATAGAAGAAATAAAGCAGAAAGGATCAATTACAAATACCAACAATGCAGATTTCATTACATAGAAGAAATAAGGTAGAAAGTATACATTACAAGTACCAACAATACAGATTTCATTACATAGAAGAAAAAGAGCTGGAAAAGGATCTATTATAAATTCCAACAATACAGGTTTTATTACACTCAAGAAATAGAACTAGAAAAGGATACATTATAAATATCAACCATACAGATTTCATTATACTCAAGAAATAGAGCTGGAAAAGGGTACATTACAAATACCAACAATATAGATTTCATTACACTAAAGAAATAAGTCAGGAGAGATCCATTACAAGTATTAGATATATAAATTTCGTTGCACTCAAGAAACACAAGTGCAATGGTCCCTCATATATATAAACATATAATTAAACGCATTTAAATCTGCTATGCATCACATGAGGAAGCAAAGTCCAAATATTAAATTTTCCGAATGAAACAAATACTAAGAAAAGTACTATAAACATAGTGTTTCTGCGAGTTTATTTATAGGGTATAGTGTACTCATCACTCAATGAAACGCTGAGTTACTAAGAAAAGTACTATAAACATAGTGTTTCTGCGAGTTTATTTATAGGGTATAGTGTACTCATCACTCAATGAAACGCTGAGTTACTTCTTTTTAACCTAAATTGTTTCAAACCCTCAACTCTGAGCAACGCTGGGTTATTTCTATTAATATAAATTGTTTCAAGTGCTCACCTCAATTTAACGTTAAGTTACCTCTACAAGTATAAATTTCCCCAAGTCCTCAACACAGGATAACATTAAGTTAATTCTACTAACATAAGTTGGTCTATCAACCCAGAGTAACACTGAGTTAGTTTTACTAACGTAAATTGTTCCGAGTTATTGTTACATCTACTAACATAAATTGTTTCAAGTCCTCAATCCATTATAATGCTGAATTACATATATTAACAAAAATAGTTTAGATACATCAACCCACTATAACACAGTTACTTCTACCAACACAAACTGTTCCAAGTTCTCAACCCAATGTAACATTCAATTACTTTTACTAACAGAAATAGTTTCAAGTCCTCAATTCAGTGTAACGTTATGTTATTTATACTAATATAAATTGTTTCAAGTCCTCAATTCTTTGCAACTCTGAGTTATTTTTACCAACCTAAATGGCTTCAAGTCCTCAACCCAGTATAACGCTTTGTCACTTTTACTAACATAAATTGTTTCAAGTTTTTAACTCAGTGTGACGATGATTTACTTCTACTAACAAAATACTACCAATTCCTCAACCCAGTATAACACTGAGTTAGTTCTACTAACAAAATACTACCAATTCCTCAACCCAATATAACACTGAGTTAGTTCTACTAACAAAATACTACCAATTCCTCAAGCCAGTATAACACTGAGTTAGTTCTACTAACAAAATACTACCAATTCCTCAACCCAGTATAACACTGTGTTACTTCTACTAATATAAATTATTTCTAGTCCTCCACTTATGGTAGTACTGTTTTTTTTTCTTTCCTGTTAATCACATAGCTACACAAAATGCTATCTATGCTCTTGCTATAGTGGGTATAAAAACACGATTTTTAGTGTAAAAATCCTTCAGACTTACCTCTGTACCAAAAGGAGGCAATGCCGAGTTACTTCTATTTTCATTAAGTTTTTAAACCCTGTACTCCTACTTACATATTTCTAGTTGATCCTCTACCCAGTGTTCCAGAAGTTTCTCCAACCTCTACCCAGTGTAACACTGTATCACTTCCAAACAGTACATGAGGTCTATTTGAGAGAAGGATGTGAATAGTCGGAAGTAAGAAGAAATATAAAATATCATGTTTGTCAGATTAAACATAAAACATGGTCTTAATTGGTAGTGTATGTCGTCATTATTAAGAATATTATCGTCAGTAGATTAAACACAAAACATGGTCTAAACTTATAATGAATGTATTCATTCTTAATAACTGTAATATTCGTAGATATAACACAAAACACGGTCTGAACTGATAATTAATGTCATCATCACTAAGAAAAGTATTATCCAAAGAATCAACACAATCCGAGGTCTTAATTGATAATGTATGCCTCCATTCTTAAGAAAGCCTTATCTCCAAATTCACAAAGCACAGTCTAAACTGATAATGAATACCTTTATTCTTAAGAATATTACCATTCGTAGAATAAACATAAAACACGGTCTAAAATGACAATGACGCCTTCATTGTTAAGAACGATATTACTTGTAGATTAAACACCAAACACAGTCTGTACTGACAATGAATGCCTTCATTCTTAAGAATATTATTATTATCCGTAGATTAAATTCAAAACACGGTCTAAACCGATAATGAATGTCTCCATTCTTAAGAATTGTTTTATTAGTAGAATAAACAGAAAACACGATCTGAACACATAGCGAATACCTTCATTTTTAAGAATAGTAGTGTCCATAAATTAACCAGAAACCATAGTCTGAACTGATAATGAATGCCTTAATTTTTCAGAATATTATTTTCCTTAGATATTAATCCCAACTCACGGTCTGTACAGATAACACTGGTCAACAAAATTGAACTTTTTTTTCTCTCTTCAACGATCTAAGTACACTTTTCTAGACCACCTTTACACGCTGATTTTAAATCTGTTTTTGTTTATCTTCTGGCACATTTAGTTATCGAAATACGACTGGTGTTAATTTCAACACAATTTAGGTAATAATCACACATTAGACTAGTTAACGTTACAACTTTATTCATTTTTCAGTATAATTTCCATAAACGTTATACACAACATACACTTGGTTAAATTTATACAGTACACACTTATAAAAAAAAACAAATGTACAACAACTTAAATTATAATTATAACAATAACCTTTCAAACTTGACGTGCTAGAAGAAAACCAAAAACAGATTTGGAATCAGCGTTCCAAGAGCTATCTATAATTATCTCTGATGAAAATAACTTGTTAGCCAGCGTAATTAATACTTTCATTCTTGATAATGGTCTTATTCGTAGATTAAACACAATATACGGTCTTTACTGATAATCAATACCTTTATTCTTAAGAATGATATTATTCATAGATTAAACAGTAAACATGGTCTGAATTGAAAATTAATGCATTCATTAGTAAGTATCATTCGTAGATTAAACACAAAATATGAACTGCTAATGAATACCTCTATTATTAAGAATATTATTATCCAGAGATTAAACTAAAAGCACGCAATTAACTGTTAATGAATGACTTCATTTTTAAGAACAGTATTATCCCTAGATTAAACAGAAACTACTGTCTGAATTGATAAAGAATGCCTTCAATTCTATAAAATAATGCTAAACTTAAAACATAGCATGAACTGATAATCAATATCTTCATTCTTGAGAATGGTATTATCCTCAATGTAAACACAAGAACACGGTTTTAACTATTAAATAATGCTTCATTCTTAAGAACGGTATTAATCGTAAGTTAAACACAAAAGACATTTTGAACTGATAATCAATGTCTCCATTCTTGAGAATGGTATTATCTGTAGATTAAACACAAAAGATGGTCTGAACTGATAAATAATGCTTTCATTATTAAGAATAGTGTTATCCTCAATGTAAACACAAAAACACGGATTTACTGTTAAAGAATGCCTTCATTTTTAAAAAGCGGTATTATCTGCAAATTAAACACGAAACACGGTCTAACCTGACAATGTATGCCTTCATTCTTTTGAATTTTGTTTCGTACATTAAATTCAAAAAAGACACAATCTGAACTGATAATGATTTTCTTCATTTTTAGGAATATTATTATCCATAGATTAAACAAAAACAATTTTAACTGTGATTACTTTCGATGCTTGAAACCTTAATTACGAAGTCAGTCAATGGTTAAAATTCACTAACGATGCCAGATTTTCTAAAAGATAATATTGAGATTTCAGTTTACTGAAAATAATTTTTATTTTAACTTCTACATTATTATTATATTGATTTATAACACTCTCTTTATATATTTATGAATATAGAAAAGGCGTAACTCTTTTTTGTGACAATTAAATGCACAGAATTAAAGCATGAAAGACAAGCACTGGCAAGCTGAGCGAGTCCTCTTTTCACGAACTTTGTCAGCCACAAGTATCGTAACCCTTAACTTAGAGTACGAGTTGTATAGCCTGATATTTTGTGTCCTATAAAACTAAAATAATTGTCGTGTGAGTAAATAATACACTTAAGTAGCTTTTGAAAACATTATATTAGAGACGTGTGTGCGCTTATAAAACAGAAATTCAGGTGTAGATAAAAAATAAAATTATAATATTGTCTGTTCGTTCAACACACGTAAAACATGACTTTAGTCTTATGTTTCTATTCGTACAACACTTACAAAACATGAATTTAGACATGTGTTTCTATATGTACAACATTTGTGAAACATGACATTAGACATATGTTTATATACATGCAACATTTGTGAAACATGACATTAGACATATTTTTCGTATATATATAGATATATACCCACAAAATGATTTTCACATCTATTAAGCTGTTCAATCTGAATTTTCAAATATTCACAAATGTCAAACATTAAGAAGAATCGTACTCACTAATCTTATGAGTAAATATGCTAACATACAGGGTTAGTTAACCCTAACGATACTCCATGCAGTGCTACAGATAGTGTAAGTTTGATCACTTAGAAACCAACTATGTAGTGTTTTGACAGCGCTACTAGAGCTAATGTGAGTGTATATGGTTGGTATGGTTTTGAGATAGTTATTGTATGTGTTTTTTTCATTTGTATAAACAAAGTGAATGTTATATAATCGATTCTTCATAGAAAACATGTCACTTGATCTAATAGCATTGTTTGTATTTTACATTACAAATAGTTATCGAGGAAATAGAACAAAACCAGACTACTGCTGAAATATGTAGTACCTCTGTTCACAATAGAATTTAAATATTTCACAATGATAAAGTCTTCACTTTCCTTTTATCTTATTTATTGTATCTGCTTAAAAATAAAGATAATTCAAATCTATAAGTAGAGGACACTACTTTCGAGCTCAATGTTATCGTGTTAAATTTGTTAACTTTTCTAAAACGTAAACTATACATTGTAATTTGTGAAAAAGTCGTAAAGTATCACTAAACAGGAAAGGTACTACATGGTAAGCTTTACAGCACTTGTTTGTCTGTTGCTAAGCGTAAAGTTACACATAAGGCTATCTTTTCTCCGGTAGCCGTGTGTATCGAAACCCTATTTTTAACTATATAACCCATCAGACTTACCACTGAGCCAACTAGTTATCATCTAGTAAACTTCACGACCTCTAGAAACGAGAAATCACTGTGGTAGTTATCATGTGGTAAACTTCACGACCTCTAGAAACGAGAAATTACTGTGGTAGTTATCAGTTGGTAAACTTCACGACCCCTAGATACGATAAATCACTGTGTTAGTTATCATTTCGTAAACTTCACAACCTCTAGAAACGAGAAATCACTATGTTAGTTATCATCTGGTAAACTTCACGACCTATAGAAACGAGAAATCACTGTGGTAGTTATCATTTGGTAAACTTCACGACCTCTAGAAACTAAAAATTACCATGGTAATTATCATTTGATAAACTTCACAACCCCTAGAAACGATAAATTACCATGGTAATTATCATTTGATAAACTTCACAACCCCTAGAAACGATAAATCACTGTGTTAGTTATCATTTCGTAAACTTCACAACCTCTAGAAACGAGAAATCACTGTGTTAGTTATCACCTGGTAAACTTCACGACCTATAGAAACGAGAAATCACTGTGGTAGTTATCATTTGGTAAACTTCACGACCTCTAGAAACGAAAAATTACCATGGTAATTTTCATTTGATAAACTTCACAACCCCTAGAAACGAGAAATCACTGTGTTAGTTACAGTTGGTAAACTTCACGACTCCTAGAAACGAGAAATCACTGTTAACCACAAAGCTGTCTGTGTTGTGTCTACAACAAGTATCGAAACCTGACTTTTGGAGTTATAATCTCTCAGACTTGCCTATAACACAGTAGGGAACAAACAAGAAATTTCTTTCGTAGATTTTAATGTTGGACATTGGAATTCTTCCTAAACTACTAATTTTTAACCATCCGGTGCACTCGATCTCACATACAAACAAGAGAATCGCTTTACAAATTCCATTTCGCTTTACTTTAGAAATTTTTAAATGCCTAAATTCTGAAAAATGTGCAATGTTCACATGTTTAATAACAAATACCAGAACTCTGTATTTCTTCTTTCGTTTCAGGTGATTTAGCAATAGCACTAAGAAAATGAAGTGACGTTTTTATCAACACTTTTACGAATGACAGATTGCTGGTATAGTTACAGACTAATCCTTTCATTTGCTGTGATTCACGAAGAACAAAGAACGGTCTTTATATCGCTCTCAAAGGCGGTTATTTAAACACAAATCATCAGACAAGTTTCACCCTCAGAAGTTGTTACCTATAAAAAACTAGCGGCTGACACTGATTGTTTATATAATGTTCTGGGCGTTTTCAAAGAGAGAGAGAGAGACAAATGTGAATAAAAACGAGGTTTGTCTAGTGTGCTGTGAGATCACTGTCAATCTCAAAGTCACGTAGACGTAATGGCTCACACAAAGCAAGCTTGTATTCCGGAAAGTAACACGTTGTGAGTTATGTTCTGTAGCACATAAAAACAAAGGTTCGAAGAAGGGGTTGGATTTCCGTATTAGAATAACGACAAAAATGGTGGGAGTTAAATGTACAACCCAGTTTTTATCGGTTTCGAAAATGACATTTAATGAGAGTCAAAAAATAATCTATTAAAATTATGTCATTAGCAAAAATAAAACACATTAACATTCATTGCTAGTTTGAAAGAACGTTTATATTTTAATGGAAGTATCAAATACTCCAAATCTAAACTTGTGTAAATCATACATTATAAGTATCAAATGATTTAAAAATAAATGTGTCTAAAATACAGACTGTAAATACCTCCTGTTCCAAAGTAGTATTTGTTTAAGTTATACGTTATAAGAGCAACAGGCTTTAAAGTAAAACTTGCTTAAATACACACACTAAGGATCTCATGCTCTAAGGCCATCATTGTCTAAATACACATAATAATAATATATTATGCTCTAAACCCAACACTGTTTAAATACACACGCTAAACATCTCATGTTCTAAATCCAACATTGTTTAAAGACGTACACTGCATATCTTATACTCTAAACCCAACATTGTATAAAATACACATAATAACTTTCACATACTTTAAAAACAAACTTCGCTAAGGTATGCATTCTAAGTATTCCCATGTATTACAGCTAAACGTGTCAACTTCACACACTATAATTATCTCATGTTCTAAAACTAAGTTTTACAAAATTCAAACTCTAAATATCATATGTTATAACACTAAATTTGTCTGAAACCCACATTATAAGTATCATATGCTTTAAAGCTAAGTTTATATAAATAATATACTATAAGTATCATATGCTTTAAAGCTAAGCTTTTATAAATAATATACTATAAGTACCATATGCTTTAAAGCTAAGTTGTATAAATAGTATACTATAAGTACCATATGCTTTAAAGCTAAGTTGTATAAATAATATACTATAAGTATCATATGCTTTAAAGATAAGCTTTTATAAATAATATACTATAAGTACCATATGCTTTAAAGCTAAGTTGTATAAATAGTATACTATAAGTACCATATGCTTTAAAGCTAAGTTGTATAAATAATATACTATAAGTATCATATGCTTTAAAGATAAGTTTCTATAAATCATACACTATAAGTATAATATGCTGTAAAGCCACGTTTGTATAAATCAAACTCTAGAAGTAGTACATGCCTTAAAACTAAACTTGTCTGAAATACACATCCTAAATCCTACATATATAGAACGACCATAATATACAATATATATGTTACATTTTCTAAAGCTAAGTTTCTTTAAAACACATATTATAAACACCAGATGATCTACAGTTATATGATTCTAAAATATATGTGATAAATATTGCATGATGTGGAGTTAAACTTATCTCAAATACGCCTCACATGCTCTAAAGTATAACTTGCCTAAAGCACATGATATTGTTGGTAAATTTGAAATTGTAAACATGTTCTAAATGAGCATCGATAGTCGATGTTGGTAACTTTAGGTCATCGTCGCGTAGCTTATAACTGAAAACGTGAAGAAAAGGGAACTGATAATTCAGGGCTATCTAATCGGTATCATTTATCAGTTCTCACACTGCTTTATGTTTATTACTCGGAACTGTAGTGACCGAACAGGTTGGTATACAGTATACAAGGCTCCTATTGAAAGGTTTTACTCATAAGTAGGATATTCTAATTTATTTTTACCTAAGACAGCTAGATTATATAAAAACTAATTAAACCAATTTTGTTGTTGTTTCAAAGCCTTACTCAAAAATATAAGCAACTTGAATGTCTACTTTGTGAAGATAATACCTGACAAAGGTGTGTAACTTTATAACAGGACAATTGAGTACAATAAGAACCTCTAGAATTGTGTATTGAGAGAGGCAGCTTTTACTCTTGGCTAGTTCAATGAGAGAACGCTGGTTTTGTTAGCCAGAGGTTCTGGGTTCAAGTCTTGGAATCTATTTTATCTTATAGGTTTTTTCACTTAAAATATAACATTTTATATATATTATTATGTCATTATTTACGAGATAATAAATTGTGTAGGTATTTAACATGACTTATAAGCTATTGACTTTAAAATCATTAACTGCCGATCTCGAAGTCAGTTTTCCCATAAAATTTAATATTATACACACACATATATATGTGTGTGCGTGTGTATTAGCTAGTAGGTGATGTGAAAGCCAATACTATGTAATGTTAGATCTATACACAGGTTATTAACTAGTAGGTACTGTTAATGTTATATCATTTTAGATCATTTCTAAAGTTAACCACATCTAGCAGGCGATGTTAAAGTGTATGCCTAAGTCATGTTTATTCCCTACACAAATAAAGGGTATTTATTTACCCCTATTAGATAAAATATGTTCAATATATATTTATTTAAAATAGTTTAAAATTTTCATTTTGTTGATGTTATCTCTAGTTAGAAAACAAACAACAAAAACAAATCGTTTCTAACCTGATATTTTAAAGTTTCCTATTTAGCCAATTCAGTTTTCATAAATCACTTAGTCTTCCTTACGTTAATTCCTCACTTGTCGTTTCCCACTCGAATGGTTGGAAGTGATGACCGGTGATCTCTCCAATTTTCTTTGTGCTTGTTGAAATCATATTTTACTGCCATCTGTCGAGTACAAAATAAGCTAAAATTAATGACTGAAAATTATCTCGGATCTTATTTGTTTGTTTGTTTTGAATTTCGCGCAAAGCTACACGAGGGCTATTTGCGCCAGCCATCCTTAATTTAGCAGTGTAAGACTAAAGGAAAGGCAGCTAGTCATCACAACCCACCGCCAACTCTTCGGCTACTCTTTAACCAACGAAGAGTGGGATTGACCGTCACTTTATAACGCCCCCACGGCTGAAAGGGCGAGCATGTTTGGTGTGACGGGAATTCGAACCCGCGACCCTCAGATTGCGAGTCGAGCGCCCTAACCACTTGGCCATGCCGGGCCTATCTTGGATCTCAAGCTTATTTTGGTCAATATAAAACAAACACTTTTTATAGGTTCTTTTTGATATTTTTCATGTTCGAATATTCTGTAGTCAGTAGCGTGTGAAAGAAAGAGAAAATAACAACAATATACCATCATATAAAATACTAGTTAAACTCTTGCTTCTAATCTATGTTGGTAACTTACTTTGATCGGAAAGTTATTGATAAGCAATTCATAATTTTGCCTAACATTTCAAGTATGTATATCTTCCTCTGTTGTCTATCGGCCCGTTGGCCTATTCATTCATCTGTCTATCAGTTTATGTGATATAACATCATGTGCAAATCACGATAACCAAGTCCTTTTGTTGCGTTCTGTATTCAATTCTTGCTACTTTATTCTGCCATGATTATAGAAAAGCGAATGAAACTTTTTTGTCGTCAATAACGTATGCTATGCCCTATGCTCCAAAGTTCGCATGTAGGACATTACGTTTACCAAGTAGCTTTGAATCCGAAGTTCTTGGTACAATGAACACTGGACATTTCTCGGAAGAGATGTATAAGCAGTCTTGATTTAACTAATTAAACACAGTTCAGTCTCTAGCTACAGAAAGTAAACGATAACAAACAAAGGTTCGTTTAAACTTTTATAATTTAGAACTGAACGTATATTCGGAGTAAAAATCGTGCAAAATAAAACCAGAAAAAAAAGGTAATTGATTTGTAAGTGTTATTCAAAGAAATATTCCAATCTCTTCTGCATTCTTGGAGAAACGTTTTGAACGGTTATTAAATATTCCACTTGGGAAATCGCTGATCTATTAGATGGAATCAAATAATTTTTGATCATGACTCACTTGACCGAATGTTCTCGAATGTAGAGTTTGTTTGATAAAGATTTCCTAAATGTACTGTTGTCGGCCAAAAAACACACACAGCCTTGACAGCTCAAAGCCTCTTTGTACTCGTGTCACGTGCGATTTCGTATTCACGTGTTTACAGTTACAAACGTTATATAAACGCTATTAAAATTTTATCACTTTACATTTGTAAGCCGGTTTATGTTATGACAAGATTGAAAATGTTCAAAGAACAGAAAACTAAGAAAAAAATAATATTTTGCTCACTGGCTTCTATAGCTTCTCGCGTTAGACGGATGGTCTTACTTTTCTCGGTTCAAACATGAGTTTTCCCAATGGAAGCAGAATTAACAAGTACGTCTCACGTACACGGTTCAACCAGTAGACAATAGCCTGAAGTATCGGTAGCAGACAAAAAACCTGTGAACATCCTGTTGTTGTAGAGTGTATGCAACATTGTCTGGATAGACAGGCGCGATAGTTAATGTAAATGTAAAGTTACAGTCTCTGAACTTCCGCTGCGTCTGTTTCATTATGGAAGTTGACTAAAACCACCAAAAGCTATAGAATCATGTTTAGGTAGGCATTGTTCGGCCTATTTTACTTACCTCGAATACTACTTCACTTAAAGGTTATAGAGCCCGAACATCAAATAGTGATACGTAAGGTTGACTTCACTTTACTTCTAAATGAGGCTTCTGCTTCACTAAAGGTTATAGAATCAGAGTATGGAATGTTGATATGTACGATTTACCCTCTCTACTTTTAAAGAAGTATTCTACTTCATTAAAGGTTATAGAATCAGAATATGGAATGTTGATACGTACGTTTGAGTCAACTTTACTTCTAAAAGAGTCTTCTACTTCATTAAAGGTTATAGAATCAGAGTATGGAATGTTGATACGTACGTTTGAGTCAACTTTACTTCTAAAAGAGTCTTCTGCTTCACTAAAGGTTATAGAACCAGAGTATGGAATGTTGATACGTAAGTTTAACCCCACTTTACTTCTAAAAGAGTCTTCTACTTCACTAAAGGTTATAGAACCAGTGTATGGAATGTTGATACGTAAGTTTAACCCCACTTTACTTCTAAAAGAGTCTTCTACTTCACTAAAGGTTATAGAACCAGAGTATGGAATGTTCATACGTACGTTTGAGTCCACTTTACTTCTAAAAGAGTATTCTACTTCACTAAATGTTATAGAACCAGAGTATGGATGGTCATACGTACGTTTAACTCCGCTTTACTTGTAAAAGAGTTTTTCTACTTCACTAAATGTTATAGAACCAGAGTATGGAATGTTCATACGTACGTTTGAGTCCACTTTACTTCTAAAAGAGTCTTCTACTTCACTAAAGGTTATAGAACCAGAGCATTGAATATTGATACGTATGGTTGAAACCAGTTACCATATTACAAACTCATCTACTTCACAAGTCTATCTGTAGGGAACAATCCACCTGAACTGAGGCTGGTGATGTGACTGAAAACTTATCCATAGCAAACGAATATCAAAAAGAAATTTATTTCGTATATATATATATATATATAATACAACATGTAACACAATATCGATATAAGTTAAATATTATAAACGATATTGTGTTACATGTTGTATTATATATATATATAATACAACATGTAACACAGTATCGTTTCATAATATTTAACTTATATCGATTTCATTGTCTGTCATCACATTTTTCTGAATATTAAAGAGCGACTGAACCCAAAACAATTACCTTTACGTTATAATAACTAACCATACTTTACGAAACTTTTATTCATATTGGTGACTCAGAAATATTCAACCTTATGCTAAAAGATGGCGACACTTGCTATCTCGGAACCTGAACAAACCAACATCTTTTGGTGCAATATAGAAAAATAAATACTAATTCCAACAACTCATGAATGCTAAAAATATCTAAATGTAACATGCCAACACAATACACTTGCTATATTCGGTTCGGACGATACCTTTCGCCCAATACCAAAATTTATCAGGAAAATGACATGGTACTTCGGTAATAAACTCAATTATGTTACTAACTACCATAAATTAATGTGTTACTGATATGTTGGTTTGTAGTCATATTAAATGACGTCGTTGTTGGGTAATAAACTGCTCTATGTTACTAACCACCATAAATTAATGTTTTACGGATATGTTGGTTTGTAGTTACAATAAATGACGTCGTTGTTGGGAAATACACTATGTTACTAACTATCATAAATTAACGTTTTACTGATATGTTGGTTTGTAGTTACAATAAACGACGTCGTTGTTGGGAAATAAACTATGTTACTAACCACCATAAATTAATGTTTTACTGATATGTTGGTTTGTAGTTACAATAAATGACGTCGTTGTTGGGAATAAACTATGTTACTAACCACCATAAAATAATGTTTTACTGATATGTTGGTTTATAGTTACATCAAATGACGTCGTTGTTGAGTAATAAACTCAACTATGTTACTAACCACCATAAAATAATGTTTTACTGATATGTTGGTTTGTAGTTACATCAAATGACGTCGTTGTTGAGTAATAAACTATGTTACTAACTACCATGAATTAATATTTTACTGATATGTTGGTTTGTAGTTACATCAAATGCCGTCGTTGTTGAGTAATAAACTCAACTACGTTACTAACTACCGTAAATTAATGTTTTACTAATACGTTTGTTTGTAGTTACAGGATATGCTGTGATCGTTAATAATTCAACTGTGATACTATGTATCATAAAGTAATATTCTATTTATATATTAGTTTGTAGTTACAGGATATGCTGTGATCGTTAATAATTTAACTCTGATACTATATATCATAAAGTCATATTCTATTTATATATTAGTTTGTAGTTACAGGATATGCTGTGTTAATTAATAATTCAACTATGATACTATATATCATAAAGTAATATTCTATTAATATATTAGTTTGTAGCTACAGGATATGCTATGGTAATTAATAATTCAACTGTGATACTATCTATCATAGAATATAATATTCTATCAATATATTAGTTCGGAGCTACATGATATGCCATGGTAGTTAATAATTCAACTATGATATTATCTGTCATAAAGTAATATTCAATTAATATATTAGTTTGGAGCTACAGGATATGCTGTGGTAGTTAATAATTCAATTATGATACTAATTACCGTAACGTAATATTCAATTAATATGTTGGTTCGCAGTAATAGATATATAGTAAACTCAACTGTATTATTAAAGACCGTAGTTATTTTCTCCTCATATACTAGTTTGGAGTCATAGTTGGAGTTAGATAATAAACTCAATATGTGACTAAATATTTATTGGTAAACTATATTTCATCATGAGAAAGTCTTATGATGTATGTGTTAATAGTATTTAAATAATTATGAAAACTCTATATATCAACTTAAAAAATACATATAATTTTATCGCTATTATAATTTATATGTTGAACATGTATTTTTGTATTTGTTAAGCACACCTTCTCATGTTCTCATATTTCACCTAGATCCAGCTTTTTAAGTTGATGTAATTTTTTTCTAGCCGAAAAACTACCACATATAGAAAGAATCGTGTGAGATGTTAAGTTATTTTTAGAATTCAAAAATTACTCTAACGAGAAGCCAGCACACCCATACATTTTAGCCTGAACTCTCCTACAGAAAGGAGGTAAAGTTGTTTTCCTTCGAGGAGAATTTTGTGTTATTCGAACGCATGCCCGCGTGAAAGGGATGTCAGTTTGTTGTATTAGTCAAGGCTGACACATTCACTGGGAACACCATATACAATCATCGAGACATTTTAAGCCAAAAACGCCCGCCTTCTTGGTATACTTATCATTTAGTGACGTTTCTTTCTAGTGTGTGTGGCTCAAAGGAAGTGAAAACATCACACCGGAAGTAGTATCGGTGATAAATTTAGATGACATCATAGAAAACGTTGGTGATTTGTTCCTAAGTTTAAGTTTCCTATTGAATCGGGAATAAAACATCAATAGGAGATTAAATATTTCCACTTTCCTGTGTACCTACTTAGTCGTCTCTGCTGGGTGATATAGAGGTAAGCGGTAGAATATAAACCTGTTTTCTGAAACTCAATCGCTGTCTTTGTTCGTTTTACCATTTTGTCATTTCATGGAAATGTAAATATCCTGACTGGTTTACTATCCTTTTCCTCAGATATGCTGTAAGTCTATCATAAGCCAATTAACCGAGTACTTATTTATGTTGTGAATTTGTATACTTGAAACATTTTTATGATAGCTTAATAGCATTTATATTATCACTTTATTGGAGAGATAGCCTTAGAAACATTGTGCGATTGGATCCAATGTCAAATTTGCTGTATGAAAATAACTATATGATTCAGATCAATTAGATTTTTTCAACTTTTATATTAGGCAGGTTAAACATTGATAAGAATAAGACAAATTAAACAGAATAAATGAGCGGATTTAAAGAAGAGTCTTTCTTAACACAGATAAATGTCAAGAAATCACACAGTACAATACCCACTATATCATATTCAAAACATAGGATTTAGATCTCCTCTTGAATAAAACTGAAACGTGTTGTCTCTATTAAAAGCAACACTGAATGTTTCTGTGGCCAATGGTAATTTGACGATATGTTTACTCATTAATCACTTGATACTGAATGTTTCTGTGGCCACTGGTAATTTGACGATATGTAGACATGTTTACCAATTAATCACTTGATACTGAATGTTTCTGTGGCCAATGGTAATTTGACGATATGTAGACATGTTTACCCATTAGTTACTTGATACTGAATGTGTCTGTAGCCAATGGTAATTTGACGACATATAGACATGTTTACTCATTAATCACTTGATACTGAATGTTTCTGTGGCCAATGGTAATTTTACAATATGTAGACATGTTTACCCATTAGTTACTTGATACTGAATGTTTCTGTAGCCAATGGTAATTTGACGATATGTAGACATGTTTACCCATTAGTTACTTGATACTGAATGTTTCTGTGGCCACTGGTAATTTGACGATATGTAGACATGTTTACTCATTAATCACTTGATACTGAATGTGTCTGTGGCCAATGGTAATTTGACGATATGTAGACATGTTTACTCATTAATCACTTGATACTGAATGTTTCTGTGGCCAATGGTAATTTGACGATATGAGACATGTTTACCCATTAGTTACTTGATACTGAATGTGTCTGTAGCCAATGGTAATTTGACGGTATGTAGACATTTGTATCCATTAGTCACTTGAAACTGCGTGTTTCCATGGCTAATGGTAATTTGACAGTATGTAAACATGTTTAACTATTAGTCATTTGATACTGAATGTTTCTGTGGCCAATGATAACTTGATTGTATATGGGTATGTTTAAGCATTAGTCACCTGATACTGGAGATTTCTGTTGCCTGTGGAAACAAGATGATACATAGACGTTCTTAACCATTAGATTTCTGTGGTTTGTAGTAACTTCTATAGTCACCTGATACTGGAGATTTCTGTTGCCTGTGGAAACAAGATGATACATAGACGTTCTTAACCATTAGTCACCTGATACTGGAGATTTCTGTTGTCTGTGGAAACAAGATGATACATAGACGTTCTTAACCATTAGCTACGTGATACTGGAGATTTCTTTTGCCTGTGGAAACAAGATGATACATAAACATTCTTAACCATTAGATTTCTGTGGTTTGTAGTAACTTCTATAGTCACTTGATACTGGCGATTTCTCGTTTCAGTAGTAACTTGATGATATGAAGACATGTTTTATCAATATTTACATGATTATATGGTCTATTTCTTTAGGTAATAGTAATTGGTGTGTCGTAGATATCTGTAGGCAGTAGTCTTTTGATATTGTCACTTGAAACTGGTAGACTTGGTTTGTCTATTTTCTTTTGATATAGAAAATTATTTTTTGTTTATTGTTAGTTGGAAGTGATAGAGTTTTTGTCTTTTGTCACTTGATAATGTGTAGATTTATTTAATCTATTTTTTCTTAAGGCTGAGTAGGTTTGTTCAGTATACTGTCACTTTGGACTGAGTAGGTTTGTTTAGCATATTGTCACTTTAGACTGAGTAGGTTTGTTTAGCATATTGTCACTTGGGACTGAGTTTGCTTGTTTAGTATATTGTCACTTGAGACTGAGTAGGTTTGTTTAGCATATTTTAATTTGAGACTAGATAGATTCGTTTAGTATATTGTCACTTGAGAGTGAGTAGGTTTGTTTAGTATGTTGTCACTTGAGAGTGAATAGTGTTACGTATATGCTTGTTTGTTAATTTCCAGTAGAAATTCTTTCCGAGAAGTTTCAGCGATACAAGTCCTTTCTTGGTTAAACTAGTTTATTCTTCCTCGATACAAACTTTTAGCACACAATAATTGCACAATCAATACATTTCTCGTCACTTTAAAGTTAACTACTTTTATTATTCACGCTATAAATCACAGTGATTCACACACTTTACTTACCGTCACTACTGTTCGCTTCTTTAATTATCTATCTCTCGCTGGCTTCTCTACCAGGCTTATATACTAACGTCTCGAATGTACTCGGGCCTCCCCAATCATTCATGATCATTCGAGAAATTCATCACGTGTCACCAGTGTCACGTGACTTCCGCTGTCGTAACAATAGGTTTATTTAGTATATTGTCATTTGAGATTGAGTAGGTTTGTTTAGTATATTATTATGACAGCGGAAGTCGCGTGACGCTGGAAGCA